CCCCAAAACCCCAAAACCCCAAAACCCCAAAACCCCAGGGGGATATATTAAGAGGGAATTTAGATAATTTAGATAATGTATAAAATGGAAGCAGTGATCAAGTGTTTTAAGGCTAGTTGTGATAGCAAAGCTCTGTATTTTGAAGAGGAGGATGATGTTTATGTGTGAGAAACACATTTGAGTAAAGGAGATGGTGAGTTTTTAATAAGAGAGTATTTATTTAAGAGAGCAAGCAAGCAGTTCTTATAATTCCAACCCTTGGAGATTTCTTCAGCTTTGCAGTTTTATAAATTTTTATATTTTTTGAGATTTTTAATAAAAATACAATCTTTGTGCTAAAAGTTCATTTAATTGGAAACTTTGAGCAAAATTTTTATTTGAATGACTCAGTTGGAAAAAAATGATAGTTTTTCTTTCCAATGTCTAACTTTGTTTATCAGAAAATGCAACCCGTATAGTATTCAGAGAAGATGTTGATGAGAATGTGAGAATACTTGATCAGTCTCTGAATGTATTCTCTATTTTCACGAGAGAGGCAGCAAACAAAGATTTTTATGAAGAAGCCAATGCTTTTTACAATAATCTTATCGAAGAAACAAAGGAAATTAAATCTAATTTTCCAGAACACTGAGCTTATGGAATTCAAAAAGAACTACAGGGTATTCAGACAAGAGTAGACGAGATAAAAGAGATTATGGAGATCAATCCAATCTTCATTCAGTTCTTGAACAGATGGTTCTGGGACTGTATGAAATAAATATCAATTCTGAGCTCCTCCTGTAAACTCTTTTTAACCGAATTGCAATGCAATCTAAAATATTATCATCTGTTGGACCGTCAAAAATCCTTACTTAAAAATATTTCTTATCATTCAACTCCTCACTCAGTTTTGTATTCTGCTTAGAAATTTTCATTAAATAGCAATTAGTCTTTAATTTATTGTATTTTTAGGCAAATCAATCTAGTCCTCGAGGTCAAAAATTTGTTTGACTCAAAAAAGAAGAGCGAAAACTAGAGAATAATGAACCTCCCTTGCTACCTTTAGATCCAACCCCTTCAGGTGGGGCTCTTACCAGTTTCAATAGAAACAAGCTTGGTGAAAAGTAAGCTGCACTTTAGATCAAGCATTATGATATTTTAGAGCGACTGCAAGTTCTCATTATACTTGGTAGCTTCTGATTAGATATTATTTTATAATAGTTTAAAAACATTTTCTGTGAAGATCAGCTATCAAAAATTTTGTTAACAACGCAGCCACTATAGCATAGTATTTCAGATATGAATTACTCTTTAATGACTCCTCTTAACTTATCCATCTCAAATAGTAAGAAAAAGAAATCCTCTCATAAAAGGTCACCACCAAATTCCACTTCAGCACCTTCAAAAGGAAAATACATTGCCCGATATGAGAAGAAGAGTAAGAAAAGGAGCCATAAGAGAGAGCATAGAGAAACCTCAATTTTAAACTTTGGAGCGACATACACTGGAGAATGGATAGGGAGTCAAAGAGATGGCTATGGAGTCCAAGTTTGGAGGAATGGTGCTAAGTACGAAGGAACCTGGCTAGATGACAAAGCTTATGGATTTGGTACTCTATATCATGATGATGGTGATGTGTATGAGGGTGAGTGGAAAGATGATAAAGCTTGGGGAGAAGGGAAATATACTCATTCTAATGGAGCTACTTATGAGGGCAAATGGAAAGATGATAAGCAACACGGACATGGAGAGGAAAATTGGCCTGACGGTGCTAGATATAAAGGAAAGTATTGAGGTGGAAAAAAGGAAGGCAAAGGAAAGCTCTTCTTTGCTGATGGTTCTATTTTCAAAGGAGAGTTTGCGAATAATGAAATTAATGGCGAGGGAAAGTACGAGTGGGTTGATGGAAAATGCTACAAAGGTTCTTGGGTAGATAACAAGATGAATGGCAAAGGAAAACTTACATGGAGAGATGGCAAATGTTATGAAGGAGAGTTTAAAGAGGATAAGAGACATGGCAAAGGCAAATTTACCTGGGCTGACGGTAGGGTTTTTGATGGGGAGTGGCTGAATGGGAAGCAACATGGCAAAGGTATTTTTATTATGAATGGAACAACAAGAGAAGGTGAGTGGGTAGATGGCTGTCGTGTAAGATGGCTGTAAACTATTGATGCAATATTTCTATAAAAGGAATACTGTTAGGGGTTTTGGGGTTTTGGGGTTTTGGGG